GAGCTGAGGGGTGTGTGGCCAGACCCCACAGGATGCTCTGATTAGGGAGGGGCTCCCCCACTCCTGACCAGCCCAGCAGGGAATTGATAACACAGTGTTTGTCACCCCTAAGTCAGTGTTTATCACCCCATTAAGAAAACAACAGAGGGACATTACCAGCTACCCATCTGCCACAGCATGGACCATAGCTATCATGTGGTCTGCTACCTAATGCACAGATACCTCTGACCAAGGCAGAGGGGAGGGGGGAATTCCTGCTTAGCAGGTAATAGTGAGGGGGACTGAGGTGTTGCCCCAGGATTCCTTTTACCAGAGACCTCCAAGGATTGACACAGCTCCTTGTCCAATTTGATATCAAGTGAACTTTATTAGTAACTCCTAGGCTTATGTCACTGGTAGGTGTCGTAATGCTTTGGGGACCTCTTCGTTGGTGCCTTGCCTCCCAGCAATGTCAGAGCGAAACCCTATTCCGGTGCTACCTAGATGGTCTGTGCACTGCCCCTTGTCTCACCTGCCACATCTTCAGTGTTATTTGTTGGGGAGGCAGTTCCTTGTCGGGGGCCTAGAGGCGTCTCAACCCTGGGGGTGTCTTCATGGGAATCCAAACCTCCCCTTTACCCGACCCTTACCACGCCTTCAGCCTGGGTTGATACTGCTCCCAGCAGGTCTTCTCCACCCTGCCCGTCTTGCAAGTGCTGGGTCTTCTTGGCCATGAACCTTTAGGGGTTTGCCCCTGGTCTTCGGGCTGGTTGTTCCCTCTTCAAGAAAATAAACTTGCCCCTGCTGGGGTCATCTGTAACTCAACTGAAAACGCCGGCGCCTGCCAGTAGAGCTCCCTAGATTGTCTCTCTCTCTATCTCTAGGGGCTCCTTCCTATCCCACAGGGCACTTGTTTATCCCCTCCCCTCTAACAGGTGGAGGTACTGGGGGAGACCTTGTGCCACATCTTTACCAGTTCTTCTGGTGTCCCTGGCCTGGAGCCTGGCTGACCTGAGGTCCTGTTGTCCTGGTCCTTCTCGCCGGTGTCGCTCCTCTCCCCTTTTAGGGGGCTCGTGGTTCCCCGTGCTCTGCCTCACCCGGGGCTGTCCAAGGATGGTCGCAGGCTTGAGGGTCTGCCCTCAGCCATGGTTCTGGAGCTCCTGGTTGGAGCGCTGCCGCTCCCCAGCAGCATCCCACCTGATTGCTGCCTCTCAGTGGGGCTCCTTGGCTCCTGCCGACCCCTGAGCCTGCCTCCTGCCTCGCTGGTCGGGGTCTCCAGGTAGATGGCCGACTCCTTCTCTGGGAAGCTGGGGCTAGAGCTGTAGACTCTCGGGTCCGGAGTCGGCGTCTCCCAGCTGGTGTTCCGCTCCTCTCTCCCCAGCTCACCACCAGCTGTTTCCCTAGCCACCTTTTGAGCAGCCTGCGCTGCTCAGATGCCACACCCCCAGCTCTCTCCGATATGCAGGCTCAGGCAGCTGGGAAACTGCCGAGCCTGCGCCTGTGTCTGCATCCATGCTCCAGTCTCCTCCCAGCTACTGCCCATCTCTACTTCTGCGGTGAGTGCCATGGCACGCTGATTAGGGGTCTGGGCCATGCTGATTAGGGGTCTGGGCCATGCTGGGGGGCCTCCTGTCTCCCCTCTCACAGCTTATTACAAGATAATTATCCTTGCAATACAACCTGGCAAACGGTTCCTTAGAAGTTACAGCAGTGACTTCCGGTGGTACTGGCCTCAGATCTTTTGCTGGGTGTGTGGGATGTTAGTTTCTGGATTCCTTGTTACTCAAAGCAAGAATTCCAAGGCTGCTCCTGTCTCCCCAGGGTGGCAACACAAACACACACTGTCTCTTTGTTTGTCCACTATTTTTGTAACTTTCTTATTTCAAACTGTCCAATCCTCAAGTTTCTTACCTCATCTTTTTAGATAAGGTACTCCAATCCTATTCTATTTTTGGTTTTCTTTCCTTTTAGGGAAACTACTGTACCTGGTTAGCCCACCATACCCCAATCACAGCACTCACTTTGCCCAGTGCCTTATAATGCACTTTGTACAATTTAATTGCTTAGTTCTGGGAAGGCCTAAAGTTATGCTAAGAGCCTGAGCATAACTCAGTTTGCCTGCTACAGGGGGGGAGCAGCCTGCAGTCTCTGCCAAGCTCCAGCCAGGGAGCAGAGGGGAGGGGCCAGCCCTGCTGTGGAGCAGAGAGCCCCACCCAACCCAACCCAGAGAGCATGCTGGGATGCTGGAGGAGTTTGGTTTAAGTTAAACCAGGAAGAAGTCTGGGACAGACATTGCATAAATCGGTTTGACCCAGATCAGTTAAATCTGCTACTACATTCAAACGGGCTTATGTCAAACTGGTTTCAGCCATTTTCAGACTGGTTTATGTGCACTGAACATCTGTTCTGTTACAGGTTTAAACGAGTTTCTGATTACTTAAACTGGTTTATGTGTAATGTTTGTCTCTAGCCTGGAAGTGGTGACACTGAATTCCTTCATTCCCAGTTATGATTCACTTATGTTCTGAAGCACTGTGCTTGATTATTTTACTTTAGCATATGTAACTACAAAGAGGTCTCATTGACATTGACTAGCCTATTTTTAATGAATCTGGAAATGCACATATTCATCAATATATGAACTGCTCCTGCGATCATGACTCAAATTCACTGGCCTTACTCACATATACAGTTACTTGTGTGTGAATGTGTTTTGGATTAGGTATGTGACTACTGAAACAATAAGTTGGTAGAAAGTCTTTTTTTTAACAAAAATATAGAACATGATAATTGATTATTAAATTTTACTATTGGATATCAAAAGCTAATAATACAGAGCTTCTTATGTTAGAAATTCTTCTTTATTGTTGATGTCAGTATTTCAATTCTAGATGTTAACTGATTAATTTTTAAACAATCACTTGATTGTAAAATGAAACATGAAGAGATTTTAATTTTTATTTATGTGGACAAAGTTAAAGAGCCTGCCCATTCACATGTTTATGGGCATAAACATATGTTTAAAGAATCTGGGATAAGATTTATGGAGGGATAAAGAAAGGGGAGTTTTGGCTCAAACTTTTTTCCTCGGCAGAACCGCATTTATGGTCCCATTCATTCAGCATGACCCCATTTCCTCAGCATGGCCCCTCACTCCCAACCCACAGCCCCCACCCCCATGACCCCCGTTTGCTGATGTTGCGACCTCATTTGGGCTCGTGACCCAGTGTTTGGGAACCGCTGACTTAGAGGGGGTGATGTGTGGAGTTATGCTTGCTGTCCCCAAGTTGCAGAACAGAATGCCTTTGGGTTCTTCTGGTTGGGGCAGAAGGGATTTTTCCCCCTTCTCCTGTTACTACAGATGTTGGTTTTATTTATTAATTTATTTTCCCACCTTCCTCAGGAGCATTGGTGGTTGGTTGCAGCCAAGGTTGTGAATCTTGACTGAAGTGTCACAGGCCAGGTAGGCGCTGTGAGTGTATCAGCCATTAGGCTGCTGGGTTCGGGATCAAGGAGGCGAGTCAGGAGTGAAGTAAAGGCAAATTTACTTATAGCTTAGCATACAACAGTTAACAGAAAGGTTAATGTGACAAACAGATAGTACAGTAATAAAGAGCTAATAGTGAATGATAACAACAGATAGAATGACAGAGTTCCCACATGGGGTTGGCAACTTATTGGCAGTTCCTCTATGCCAGGTGCGCGCCAAGTTATTTCAGTGAAGTCAGGGGTCACTGGGAAGGTCCCTTGGTCAGGATCTGGTCCTCACTCACAGTGGGAGTCTGGGGTCCAGGCTTGGTACAGCGATGGTTCTTCTGTCCCGTCCTTCTAACTGGTCACTTGACATGCACGTTCCTTTATGCCTTATCTTATGCTAATCTGTTGGCTTTAGAGCCACTCACAATCTTGCCCTATAGCTGTTACCCTATGGGATCAAAAGGTGTTAGAAATTATCATGAAAGGTTACCGCCCGAACTCAAGTTCACTCAATAAGCAAATTACACCACATTACTTTGAGTTTTGAAATTAGCATTACCCGCCCAAACTCAACCCCTTAGATTTCTTATTCCTGGATTCCTCGGAATGTGCTAATTATATTAGGTGGTCAGATCTTGTTATGGCTTGACCTTTAAAAAACCTGTTAGATCAGCTAATCTTATAGCTCTGCTTATTTTTGGGGTTCAGTGGTCCCATGATCAGTGCAAACTGTTATATTGAACACTTTGGTTAAATTGTGACAGACAAATTCCACTTGCAGGTTGCAAACTTACAAGCTTTGCATTAGCTAATCTTAACTGCTTAGACTATTGTCTGAATGCCACCAAGAGCATATTATTTATTGCTCATGATAGTAACCCCTCTGGTTCTGGCTACCACACTGGGGTGTGCCACTGCTCTTGCTGGGACTTAAATTTGGAGGTTCTTGGCTAGAGGGTCTTGCTCCTCTACTCACAATAAAATTGATCATCACACTTGGGGTCAGGAAGGAATTTTACCCCATAGTCAGATAGGTACAGACTGTTGGGGTTTTGGTCGTCTTCTGTAGCAGGGGGTGAGGCCCTCTTCCTTGGATCTCTGAAGTGTATTTTGACAATAGCAGCAAGACAGTCGCTGCCATTGTCCCTCTGTTTTACCCATGGCAGGTTAGGGTGCTGTGCCTTGCAGTTGTGTGGTAGGGTTGATCATGCAGTTTTAGTAATAGGTTAGGATTTGTATGGAATGGCTTGGCTGGAGATAATCTTGCCTCTGGTAGGGAACTGGATTCTAGATGACCTCCAGAGGTCCTTTCTAGCCCTATTTTTCTATGAGTCTGTTTGTAACAAAATACAGAAGAATGTTATTTCTTGCATGTTAGATCTTGAAAGTACAGGGGGGATATATTTTAAACAGGTGTAAAAGAAGGTCTGATGAAATTTTAAAAGCCTCTCAATAGGTAACTAATTAAGTTGAAAAATTGTTGTTGTTATTATTATTATTATTATTTTGCCAGACACAGTAACAGACTGTTTGCATTTCAGGGGAAAATGAAGTCCCATCTGAAGATGCACTAATATTGCATCTGCAGCTTGTAAAAGGGCAAGAGAAATTTGTTGAAATGCTAAAAAACCAGCAGAAGGTAATTGTGGACTTGCAACAAAAACTTATTGAACAACAGAACACACTGGTTAGCCAGCAACAAGAAATTCTTGAACAGCAAAGAAAAATGTACGAGCAAATGGATCTGATAAAAGTCCAGTATGGCATGCTTTTCAACACAGTGAAACAAATGTCATTCCAGAGTTTGCAGGAAGATATTCAAAATTATTTTGAAGCTCATCTTCAAGGACTTCAGAACCAGGTCAAAAATCATCTCCAGAAATCATACTCTGTGCATAAAGTAGAAGTTGATGCAAAAGTGATTGATGTTGGGGAATCTTTGCTGGACTGCGGCCTTTGTGAAAGTGATGAATTTTGCAATTTCCAAAAGACACCATCACAATGTGAAAAATGCACCTTGTGCCCTGCTGGCTTTTTCCAAATGTCTGCATGTTCTGCAAACACTGATAGGATTTGCCAGGTGAAGTATTAGAATATTGTGTATTTTAATAACATTTTATCAAGCATTTTGCCAAGTGTATGGAGCATAGCGTTGTGGAAATACTGTGCTGAGACTGCAGCTAATAAGAGACAGGAGAAATTCAGAGTATTTGTTTTATGTCCCATGTCTGGGTTATAATTCTTAGGTTCAATTGTGTTAGTGCCAAAATATGTGCTTTAACATTTACTTTGTAATGATTCTTTATGCAGCAGAAAATAAGGGCACAGAGTTTAAATAGCCATCATAGAACAAGTCATGGGAACAGTAAAAATGTGATTGTTCTTCTTAGTTTCTCAATGCGCATACATATTTACATGCACATCTTTCTCTAGTAATGTAGGGGGTTGTGGTTTATAGGCCTCCTTAGGGATGTCTGTTTTAAAGAGGAACTTGAAGAAGAGGGTAGCACCAGCAAATAATAGAATGGGATCCAGCCACAAAAGCAGGCAAGAAAGAACTGGTGAGGGACATGAGTGGAGCTATTAGATGTGGAGTAGGACTGAGCAAGATAGTAGGTTCTGGGGGTCTTGCAAGTCATACATAAGGATCTTAAATTAACATAATTAGTGAGGGAAATGATGGAAGGAAACTAAAGAGATGCCAGGGCAGGCCAGTGGACAGTTACTTGTTTTGTTGGCAGTATTGATGGAAGGCTTGGGATGGTGTATGTCTTCATGCCCAGCAAGGGGGAGGTTGCTGTAATCAAAGGACATAAAGATCAGAGGTTAGATAAAGGTGTAATTAATTTATGCACATACAACAAGCTAGTAGAGTGTTCACATTCCTATATAGAATTAGAGAACCGAGTATTATTCTAGGCTGGCGCATCAAGTAAAGTGACAAGATACAAAATGAGGAAAGGAATAAAGACGTTTCAGTTAAACGTGATACAAACCACATAAATTTAGCAGTCTCTGTCTATTGACTCTTAGGAATTTAGGACACTGATTAAAGCTTTATTATTTTTATTATTCCCAGCTGAGATACTATGTCAGTACATTTGTGCATTAGACTGTTTATCATCCCAATTGCCAGTTAGTACTTTACAATGAGTTAAGCAATGTAATAGGAAGAATTTCACAAACAGCACTGTACCCTTGACTAATACATCACATTTTTTCTATCTTCTTGTAATAGCTGGAATAAGTAAAATCTAGAGGTGCTTTATAGGAAAAAACAGGAGGATTCACTGAGAGCATCCACATAGAGAGAAGGAGACTGAATCTGACACTGAATTTGAGAACCTGAGGAACAGAGAATAAGATAGAAATGCAGTGAGTGATGGGGTCACTGGGGGAGAAGGTGGTAGTTGCAGGAGCTGGAGACAGTGATGGCTTGGAAACAGAATGTGATGTGGGTAGGGAACTGGTGGAGAATAAGCGAAACTGAATATGATCAGAAACAAAGTTTGGACTGGTTGTGTGCGTCCAGACATGTGTGGACAATTGGTTCCCCAGGGTCAAGTAGTGGTGCACCTTGTGCCACAGCTACTTGTCCCTAGAGAACGCCTGTGCAAATGCTTTGGCATGCAGCAAGTTGCCCCAGGTCGGGTAGAGGAGAGTGGGACAAGCACTGGCCTGGCCCCAGCAGCCTTACCTGGGGTCCTGGGGGCCTCCTGGGGCTGCAGCCATGGCAATTCTGCCGTGCGGAGCCTAGTGGGGAATGGAGTACAGCTCTAGGTGGCCTGGCTCTGTTTTTCAGCAGTGCGCACTGCCCAAGCGTGCGCTGTGCCGGGTTTTTTTTTTGGTTTTTTTTTTACTTCTGGATATCCAGGGATCAGAAAAACCTGTGGAAAAAAATAATGATGCAGCGTATGCTCAGGTAGCATGCCCTTGCAGTGTGGAGAACAGTGGACTGTGTGGTATGTGGCTCTGCAAACATATTTGTGATGCCACATACTGCACAACTGCACTCGTCTGGACGTGCCTGTGGAGGTCAAAGTGGGAGAGCAGTTCTAGGGTAAAGTTAGTCATTAGAGCTATTGTAGGAGCCAGTTGTTTATATAAAATGACTAACAAATTTCAGCATCCTTAACTAACAGAATTAAAACTGGTACAGTTAAGTCACTGTGACTTAATTGGATACTTCATTAATTGAATTAAATTGTTCTTCTTTTGGCATTCTTGGTAAGTGTTTTCCTGTCATGAGGTTTCCATGACAGCCAGTTCACTAAATTTGAATATGGTTCTTGTGATTTGTAGGACAGAGATGAATGCACTGAATCTCCTAACATTTGTGGTGAGAGGATAAAATGCCTGAATACCCCAGGTAAGCTTTTAGCTTTCTGTGATTAACAAAGATCTACATCTACTGGATTTTCAGTCCTATGTGGTGAATTCGTCCAAGTTGAAGGTGCTTTCCTTACTTCTGTTTGGGTTTTTTAATTCCTGCAGCACTCCAGTGTCTTTAGGTGTACTGTTCTTCGCATTTGTAGTGCTGCAAATTTGAGTAAACACCATTGAAACCAATGGCATTACTCCTGCTGGGAAACTGGTATAAAAGCATAATTAAGTGATCTGTCTTTTGCACTTGTTCAATGATTTGATTTGATCTAGTACATATTATTATGGCCCCCATCTCGGTAGTATCTGATACTCTTTGTATTGTAGAGCAGTGTTTCTCAACTTGTGGGTTGCAATGCAGAACTGGGTTGCAAGTATATACAAAAGGAGCTCAAACAAACTTTAAAAATGGATTAACAAACTTTAAAAATGGATTTTCCTTTAAAGGAAAACAATGTGGGAAACTGTGGTTTTTCCCTTGCAGGCCGGCAAAATTCCAGCCTGTGAGGGGCTGCTTGGGGCCCCCCGTGTCCCCTCCTTCCCCCTGCCCCACACACCCACCCTCTACTCCACACACTGGGGGGCTGACACCTGGGGGCAGCAGGTCAGGAGTGAAGGGCACTAGGTCAGAACTGGCCATTGATGTTTATGGATGGGTCCTTGTACAAAAAAACTTAGAGAGCCACTGTTATAGAGTACTGAGGTGTGAGGTTACAGGTTTCATTTCCAACATATTAGGATGGGATATTCAGAAGCCTCCTGACTTAAGACCACATGCTCCATTGAACTTCTCCACTCTAGCTTTAACCTCATATGCCCACCCTAGACTGTCCCTTTCCAATTAGTATGAACATCAAGGTCACAAGTATGAACTTAATGAAAATTTTGAGTGCGCTATGCCAGTAGGCATGTTGATTTTTGCATAGCTAACTGGCCAGAAGAGATTTGAAAAGAATAACGTGGAATGGTTTCATAGGCTGTGAACATTGTGGGATTGTAAATTGAGATCCTCCCCTGTCCAAGGGACTGGGATCCAGTGAATATTCATCTGTTGGCTGGATCATCACTTTTGCTCAGTAGAAACTGAATACGGATGGAGACTATGATGGGAATGCATCCACTGCTCCCCCAGGGAAGGATTAAAGAGAGGACATGGGCTCAGTTAAATCTGCCTGACATGCGTAGGCAGGAAGGAAGGCTTCAGGAAGAGAGAGAGCCATCATAGTGGTCCCCGAGGATGGGCAATGTTCAGAAAGAGTTTTCAAGAAGCAAGATAGCACTAGGGAGGGGCATAATATGAGAAAGGAAGCTGGAAGGGGTTAAGGCTTTAAGACCACTTGAGACAAAGGGAGTTTTATTTGGGGTATTTGAGTTGGAGATATTAGGAAGGACTTTAGGACAAGACTCTGGGGTGCTCAATTCTGGGAAAGCAGGGCTGAAGATGTGCTAATGGTTCTGCTTTGTTGCCATCCCATATGGTTCCCATCCTGGAAGTGGTAACATTTATGTGACCTCACCAGAGGACTGAGTCTTTCAAGGAGCCAGGTCAACTCAGGGCCTGTAAAGCCATCTGATGGAGGCAGATGCTATGTGATCAGACATCTGATGTCATGGGACATCCAGTCAGGATGAGGTATGTAATTTGGTGGGACATTTCCACATCACCCAAATCCAGTAGCAATGTAGGTGAAGGGAGAGGAACCCTGAACACCTCCAATTTAATGATGGTCTGCTCTACACACAGGTGAAGGGGCAATCTTTGAAATAATCTGTCATTTGGGTCAGGAGATAGCATCCTTTTTAACCTCCCCATTTTAGTCATGGGAGTGGGAAATTTTTCTTCTCTTAAATTTCCTTTTTAATTATTCAAAAACTGTTATTTCCAGAAATCATTATGGGTCTGTTCATGACAGTTCATTATTTTACACAGCCCAATTTCCTTGTCAATAGGGAGGTTGAAATCAGATGTCTGGTTTGGGAAGGAAATCTGAGCTGACATATGAGAGAGAGCCAGATGTTGAATAGGGGAGGTTTCCTTAGAACTGCATGTGAAAGTGTTTTCAGCTGTAGCAGCCCTTGCAGACCATCTAGCTTCAGAACGAAAGGAAAAGAAAGCATATTAGCATAGCATTGCATGAAATGAGGCGCTTCTCCTCTCTAGCATTCCAGCTCACTCTGAGGAGCTCTGCAGCTATTTGACCCTTAATTATGTATTCAGTAAGCTGCCCTGCTCTCTAAGTTGGCGTTATGCATCTATGATCCTCAGTGGTTTTTGTACAGCCTGGGATGCTGAGGGACAAAAGCTGAAGATCTCTCTTCAAGCTCTCACGTCTCACTGATTTTCAACCTTTTTACATGGAAGGCACCCTAGGATACACTTGCAACACCCCTCAGAAATTCCAGCTCTTAGTTTTCACTCTTTCTTTTTTTATTACAGAAAAATAATAGACCAGTTTTTTCCTGTTGCAAAGAACCTAGATCACAACTATGGATTTTTATTTGATAACTGTGTCTAGATACAGACATTCAAAAAGCCCGAGGTGGAGTTGATCAAACTTCTGTAAGGTTTCCCTAAGCTGTGTAAAAGGGGTTTTCCCCCTCCCTGTGTTCCTCTTGCCCAGCCAGGCTGTGCAGCTCCCAGTTACCTTGTCCCTCAGTGGCGAAACCGGAAGCGTGCTTCCAGTTTCACAGCTGGCACTTCCAGGGAGCGCACAGCCGATCTCATGGGGTGCATGTGCACCTGCGTGCACCCCCTCAGCATCACCCAGTTAGGGTTGGGGGGAGGAACTGGGGGGGTCCAGACAGGGTTTGGGGGATCTAGAGGGCCTCAGCGAGTAGGGTAGGGGGGACTGGGGTGGGGGGGATCTGGGGAGCTAACAGCTGGCAGGGGTGCAGGGCTTAGGAAAGAAGCCATGCTGTGCCAGTCAGCAGGGAAGGGGGGAAGCCCCCTCACGCAGCCCCCCTCAGCTATGTGGGCTGGGGTGGGGGCCTTTGCTGCCTTGGCTCTGTGACAGCTCGGGGTCAAGGCTGGCCCAGCACTGGGCCAGAGCAGATGAGTGTGGGCCAAGGCTAAGCCACATGCCCTGCAAGGGACAGTTAGCAGGGGAGCTGCAAAGCATCCTGGGATTCTGGGGGACTGTGACCTAACTTGAGTTGGGAGGGGATCTGGCACAAAAGTTTGATAGACTAACCTAAACATCCATCTGGGTCTATCTTAGACCAGGCTTCACCATTTTAAACCAGTCTGTGTACTGAACTTCTGTTCTGTTACAGGTTTAGACCAGTTTCCAGTCACTCATATTGGTTTATGTGTAATGTCTGTACTTAACCTATGGGTTTATTCTGTGTATCACGTTTGTAAACTTAAAAGGGCTAATATTGCATGGCCCCCTGTGGCACTCTTGAAAGTATCTCAAGGCATCCCAGTGTGCCATGGCATCCTCATTCATGGCTCTAGACCATGAATTGAGAACAGCAGACCCTGAATACAGAGTAATAATCTAACATTAAAAAACTTGCCTAAGTGTATGTTAAAGGGCAAACTATGTTTAAAATTAAAATAAACCTTGCTAAACACTGCAACAGATTATTTTCTACTTCATAAACCAGTTAAAAGTACATGCAGATAGGTTTTCTTTTCATAGTCATTCAGCTATAGAGCAATGACATTTCTATGTCATTGGGAGAACATCCTTTAAGTGAATGAAATGCAAACAGGTAAGGGAGTATGAAAAGAAAAGTGTGTGTTAAAATGCTATATATATACTGGTCTGTCTGGCAGCTCTAACTATATTGGAGGTAGTCTTCTGCTTGCTCAGCGGTTTGCAGTAGCCTGCTGGTCCCTGGCTCTTAATGCTCCTGTATAGGAAGAAAAACATGACTAATTGGGGTCTATGGCCAACATCTGGATTTCAGATTTCAGCCCATGTTCCCTGTGTATGCCAGCATTTGATTTCAGTCTTGATACTGAGTAAACAGAGCTTGTATAAGAGTTAATGAAGAATTCTGGATAAATAGAGACAATATTTAGGTGTCAGGAGGCACTTCATGAAAGTTTCAGAAAAAGGGACTTTAAGTTTTTGGTTAGGCATGATTTAAAAGGCTTTGTAGAGCACATTCACAATTAGCAAAGCCTCAAGTTTTTTCATGACCAGTTCTGACAGCCTGATTTTCATCCTGCCCTCCCCCTGAAAACTTTTGGGCATTTGCATCTTCAGCTGAAGTCAGTGGCAGTTGTGTGTGCTTAGCACCTCTGGAAAAACACCCAAAGTTAGAAACACCTTTTTGAAAACGTACCCAACAACTATATTCTTTGATCTATTAAGGATACTATGTTCCTTGTAAGCAGGGGGATGTAGCTGTAAGGCAGCTGTAAGGTGGAGATGACTTTATGTGGGAAACTCTCCGCTGGCTGAAAGTAACTCTACCAGTCCATGAATGAGTGAGCTCCAGTGAGTTGGGGACAGGGCATGTGTAAGCAGGGATGTGGTGACTGTATAACAGAGGGTTATTATGCCCAGTCCTCCAAATTAGGGCTGAGATACTAGATGGTGAGGCTACCTGCAGCTCCCCTGCACTTAAGCAGGTACAGCCAGGGCCAGACACAGGCATGGGCAAACCAGAAGGAAAGGGGGCATGAAAATGGTAATTTAAAAATTTTTATTATCATTATCTCTGGTGAAGGGAGGCCTGATACTAAAAGTTCACCCGGGGCCATCCAGAGCAGCTTGGACAAAGTGAGGAATCAGGGCATTTATCTTTAAACTTTGTCTACTATCAAGGGTCTTCTGATAATATTGAATAATCTAATTTGTGCTTTGCTTGGCTAGTATCAGGTGATGTATAAAAGAAATTTGTTCTGAGAAGCTGTAGAGTATTTGTAGCATGTGATATGTGATATCTAAAGATTAAATCTGCCTACTTCCCATGAACAGGTGGCTTCCGATGTCTTGGGATTGCTGAAAAAGATGCGGCATTGGGATTGTGTGGAGAGGAGTATTTCTTTAACAAAGAAATTCAGGAATGCAAGGCGTGCGCAGAGTGCGAAGATGGAGCGGTAGCTGTCCCTTGTTCCGCAGCCAGTGACACTGTTTGTTCAGCAGCCAGTGAAAACAAGCTTTCCGAATCTTGGGCTGCAAACATTATTTTACCCTCAGCAAAATCTAACAGCTCTCAGGTCTACCCTGGCTTAAACTTGAAGTTAAAAGGAATGCTTCACTGTGAAATCATATCAGTTGAAGATAACTGCCTGGTATTCAGACAACATGGTTTGATGTGGACTGATCTCAATTTTGCTGTAAAGCACAACTGCAGAAACTTTCTTCAACTCTCCTTGAAACTAAGCAACAGCGAGGAAGGCTATGAACTGAGTGCTGTTCGTATTGAGCAACCAGAAGGCAAATATTTCCAGAGCACCAGTTTAAGCAGTGCTGCAGAGGTAGAGCCAAGCCAAATTCTCTCTCTGTTTCTGAGGAGTCCAAATCAATTCTGCAACCAAAGTAAAGACTTAAATATTTATGATCTTAATACACCACTCAGTTTGTTTTGGTTATCCCATGATACGGGTGCAGTGGCCATGAGTGCGCAGATGTCAACTGCAATGTACTACCAAACTAACTATCGACCAACTTTTAAAGTTATTTCCGTTTCTGACCCTTACATGCTAAGTTTATCGCATGATGGCAGAGCTATAAAGTTCACCGAAATGGGTGTTGTCAAATTTGTTTTTCATCAAGCATTGTATTCCATGGGCCACACATGTGTTCGTGAAGGCTTTTCCCTGGTTTCATACATTAATAGGAATGGTACCAACAGAGAATTAATGAACATATTTAAGTCTGGTGTAAATTACAGAGACACCTCAATATCTGCCTCTCAGGCCACCAAAGTCAATGCTGGAGATTTGATTAGCTTTGAAATACTTTCTCCTCCTCAATGTAATGTTCGGTATTTTGGAGACAGCTCTGGGATTAGTATGTTTAGCCTCATCTGGATCCCATCTGCAGTTTCCACTGCCATATCAGCTACAGTTTCTGTTACAGGTCTGCCTACAGGAGCGGTCAGAAACAAATTATTGTGTTTCACCCAAGTCTCCTCCCATGAGAAACAAATACAGTTGGTTTCTTCAGGACAACTGGCTCAGAAGTATTTTACCTTTACAGAAAGGGGAATTGCCAGTGTTGCTCTTAATTTAAAGCTGATCCACTCTTGCTATATACTCAAAATTACTCTAAATCAGTTGCTTAGAGATCAGATGCAACCCACAGCAATTGCTCAGCAAATTGGAGGTCAAATGCCAGAGGGAAGCCTATGGACCAGTGTGTCCCTCCACTCTTCTTTTGAAGTGCATAATAGCACATCGATATTTGTTTCTCTTGACTGTGTGCGTGGAAGGATCAATCAGATTGCTCATGAACATGGAACCAGCATATCTATTTTATGGATTTCATCTTAATTATGGTAGAGTGAAGCAATTGTGAATGGACAGTTTAGTGTGACATTTGAATTTTTCTATGTGAACATGCACAGAATATTGCATTAAAATATTATCAGTAGGAACCCTTAAAAGTAATCTTAGTTGGATTATCACTGTCTAAACACAATGGATATTTCTGCTTTTCCAAGTGATTTCTCTGACATCTGGGAAGAATAGAAGCTTGGATCCAGTTCCAACTTTATTTTTAACAAAGCAGTGCCTTAAAATAAGATTTTGCAGGATTCAAAAAAGAGGAGGAAGGAAAGAGAAACGGATGATTTTTAAAAGGTACTGAAAATGGAAAACCAAAACAATCTGGACCTGCTTTCACATACTGTTATGCCTTTCCTATAAAAGGGCAATACCAGTATTTTTGCCTTTGTCATCTTATCCAGCCCTTACAGAGTGGTGGGACTTTGTGTAAACTGAAAGAATTTGCTTCAGACTGAAGGTAGAAAAAAGATAATAGATGTTTAGAAGCAACTAAGCTTTAGAAGTTGTTTAGTGCTGATCAAAATAGAATGTAATTTTTACAAACTTGGTTTTTAACAAAGAAATGAAAGTAAATGGCTGTTTTTGTTTCATTTTGATATGAAAAATGTAAATTTGTTTTTTAGGTATTATATTTGCTTTTTAGCGTTGTTGTTTTTTCAACACTTAAGTGTATGAGGGGAGGTAAAATGAATACCATATACCTTTAAATTTAGGACATAGAAAATTTAGATGCATCTAAAAAATATTAAAATGACTCAATTTAAGAAACCCCCCCACAAAATATCAGATCAAGATAAACCTCTTTAAAAATAATACAGTACACCAAAACCTCCAGGTGCATGTACTTTTCCACAAATATGTGCTTTTCTACCAATTTAAGATGCTGACCACTTTTAGAAGAAAAATTTGTTTTAAAAAAGTGTCTCATATTTGAAAGAATACAGTATTTAGGATGAATGAGAAGTAATGGGAGGAGAAAATGTTCAAATTAGTTTAAAACGGGGAGGGGGGGGCGGTTCTCTATCTCTGGCCCATTGGCCAGATCTGGCCTGCAGGAATTGCCAGGGGTTGAAAAATTTGGTGGCGGGAGAGCAGTAGCAGCAATTGCTGCTCCTCTGCTGCCAAATATCTGGACACGTGGGAAGCCCCATGGGCTGGATAGCATGCTAGATTTGTGCACATAGGTATCCTGGAGCCTGTCCAGGGGTGTGGGGCTGAGGGAGTTGGTGCAGAGCCCAAATCTAGGTCACAGGGCCCTATTTGGACCACCGGCCCTAGCCATTCATTTGGCCTTTGCACGCGAAACATTGAACATTACTGGTCTGAACACTGAAAAAACAAAAGGAAATATTTTTGAAAGGAAACAAAATTTTCTTCCAATTTCTGCCTGTGGCAGAACACTTTGAGCTCAGCAAGAGCTGTCCAGGGAGGTTAGAGTGGCTTTTCTTAGATCAGTGGTCTCCAACCTTTTTATGGCAAAGATCAGTTTTTGGAAGTAAAAGGCACCCCAGGATCTACCCCGTCCCCCTGCCCCTGGATTGTGAAGAGTGCCAGACCTGGGACCTGATCCTGGTCCCACTTCTGTGCTGCGGCTGCACTGAGCTGCGCCTACCCGGCGGCCCGGTGGAAGGGAGGGGTCCCGTACCCCTGAAGGTGCCCCTGGGCTCCAATCCTCCCACCACCTGGCTGGGCTGGGGTCCCACGTACCTTTCCCAGCTTCTGGCTGGGCTGTCCAGTCAGTTGCTCACCGCGGGGTCTTCGATCTCATCTCCGCACCTTCTCTCCCCCACAGATTGACCTGCTGGGGTTGGGGTTGTGCGCCCAGCTCTCCCCCAGCCCAGGATTGACCAAAAGAGGCTCCAGGATCAATCTGTCAATCAGGATTGATAGGTTGGTGACCACTGTCTTAGATAAAACTTTAAAAATGAACTTGAATGAGAAATTGCAGAATAAGAAATCATCTACACTCGTACTCCCCCACTCCATGCTTGCCTATGAACAGAGGGAAAATCCCACTGTGGGTCTGGCTGAATGGGGGAGAGTGGGGTGTTCCTCCACCCAGCCAGACCCATGGGGCGCTTGTCTGACTCAAGAGGGGAAAGTGCCACAGAGATACTAGACGTCTGCTGAAATAAAGCAGCAGAGTCTATTACCACCTTTTATTGTGCCACTGATTTTCCTTTCATGTGGAGGAACAAAGGATATCAACCTCTATTTACTCAGTGTTTTTGCTTCCATAACAAACTTCATGGTGGCACCAATGAGATGTCAGGTGACGTCCATTTCCATCCAAGGTAACACAACAGTCAGGTGGTAAGGAGGCCAGTGCAGTGGTGCAAGCCACATTGTGCGAATTCTTCACTCCATTTAGGTGAACTCCAACTTTCACTGACTTCAGAGGGATCACAATTTTCATCCATTCTAAGACTGAATTATTTTATATTATCTAGATTAGGATGACAATACATTACAGTAGAAATAAATCTCGAGCAGTTTTAGTGTGCAACACTTAAAAGGTATAATCTACTATTACTACTACTTAACAGAGAATCTTTTATTCAAAGGAAAGGAAACCTGTCCTGGAATTAGAGCATGCTCTTGAGCCAAAAAAGACTAACTATATATGGAGGAGCCTTCTTGTTCGAGAGAGGTGGCATTTCTAGCCCCTCTGTTCTGCAAATTTAATTAAGCTGGTCAAAGATAAAAGGGAGTTTAATTCCTATGAAAATATTCATCTGCTCGTGAAGCGATGATTCAAATAATTCGTAAATGCTTAAAGAAGGTCCTACCTATTAGCTGGTGGTGATTTTACTGGAAAAAAAGGTAAAATGGGTCTCCTGATACTTTCCTCAGGGTGATTTTTAGGAGATACAGGGGAGGAATGAGTGGCTCTTCAGAGAGAGGATCTAGGTTGTGGGCTAAGCAGTTCCAAGGTAGGGACTTTAGAAGCAGTCAATCCTTGAGAGGGAGGTTGAACTTAGTTTTGTGATGGTTAATTAATAAACCATCATTAATTCACAAATCTTTATTAACAAAGCCCAGGACAGGGTGAATCTTTGAGATAGAATCTGCATACTGTGCTGTTTCAGCAAGAGTTACCAAAGACACGTGCTCACACGTATAAAAGCCATGTTCTTGTGTCAGTATTTCAGGTATTGTGCCCTGCGGGCCATGTTATGCACTGATACCCCAGATACGTACTGAAGTATCTGCAAGTTAATAGAGTCCCTGGATAACTGAGATCAGAATCTGGCTTAATCTCCCCAGAGCAGAATGCAGGTGTTGTCATGCAATATTGAACAGGAATGTTTGCCCAGATGTAAGAGCATTTCCCCAGATATAGTCTATCTTGGTTGGTTTGACTATATCATTACTTGGGCAGGGGTTACAGTATCTGTGAAAATGCTGGTATGTTGGATTATGAATGTACTCAGTGAAAAGGACTTTTTCCCCACACCACAACTCTCAAATTCTGAATCATACATGTGCTGTTACTGTTTATTTTTCTACACCTCTTCTGCTTTATTTAGTTATGGCAGGAGGCTGGTATCAGCAAGTATTTTATCTAGTAAATATAAGATAAATTTGCACTCTGAAAGTGCTTCACTATATGAATATTCTGGTTTTGCACTTGCAGAACTCTGAAAATTCCCATTAAAGTCAGAGGCAAGATTTCTAGAGTGATATCTTTTCTTGGACTAATTGCATAGTTGGGAAAGAATTTGACAAACTATTGAATTAAAGACATTCTCCAAGTTATTTTTAATATGTCTTGCATTCAAAACTTGTCAAACTCCATCCCAACTATGCAGTTGGTCTAATAAAAGATATCACCTGAGAAATCTTTGCCTCTTGCATAATTTCTGGCTCATCATGGCTAAATATCACTCTAACACTGTCTTTAAAATAGTAGATGCACTATGCCCCTGCCTAATTAAACTAAACATGGCAAATATAGCTTCTGTTCCACTCAAATTATCTTTTAGGATGCAAGCACATTAGAATATATCAATCTTCATGCTACTGCATTGACAATGAATTACAGGAAACAGCAGTAAATTAGGAAGTAGCTGATGAGAAAAAAAATCCATCTCTCAGCTGAGATTCTGTCTTTGATTATACCAACATAAAGATGGAGTAACTTAACTGGATTGATTCCAGTTATGCAACATTTTAACTGAGAGCAGAAATTGGCCTTCATGTGTTTACATGTGCCCTGAACCCATTGCATGGTACCAACTATTGTGCTACATAAACACTGATGCTGTGATCTTCAGTTCAAAAGAACCTGGGCATAGTTTAAATGAATGCCAGCTGTATGGCACCTAGAATAAGTAACTGCACATTTACCCTGTAATGGTCACATTTTACTTACTTTTGTTAACAAATCTTGAGCTCCTTTAGTTAAAACAAGTTAATGTTAACTCCAAGTCATCCAGTAAAATGCTATACCTTGTATTTAAAATCCATTTAAAAGCCTCCTCAAAAAATGAAGTGCTTTGATACATGGTTGTCAGTGTAAATACTGAGAGATTTTTCTCCCATTCACACTCTTACAGAGTAGTATTGTACTTCGTGAAGATTTCCAATAGGGGTTCTTGCAAAGTTAAACTATCTTGGAATGTGACTAATGGTATAAGACTGGCTAATTCATTTAGAGACGGAGTTAATATACTCACCATTTTGCAGATTACTTCTGTTACACCATGCATGTAACATTATAGTACTTTACTATAGTAATGTTGTTCATTGCAGAAGGAAAATAATATAGGTTATATGATGCTGCTTATATAAAGATTTGGTTTATAACAGACCTCCATTTTTATGTAAAAAAAAAATGCTTCAACCTGCATTTTAAACATTTTGCAGCTTTAAAGATTTTATCTGAATATATTTTATTACTTTTACAAAGTGTTTTATAACTGGGAGGAACATCTTAAGCATATTGTAATTTAACATTGTGGTTTGTGCCTCTTTGTATGCTTTCTGCTGGAGTTTTCCAGAGTATGGTATATTGTTAAAACTACATTAGTTTACAGGGGCTTTTATCTCAAGTATCCCATTTCCAAATATTGTATTAATTTTAAAATATTGTTCTTGTACTTAGTCTACGTTAATATTGTATCATATGTCATAAGATAATTTAACTCAAATAAAACAGTATCCTTTGATGCTTGTTTAACATTCTGTTACCAAGATGGAGTGAAATCCTGGTCTCTCTGAAGTCAGCAGGGCCAGGCTTAACCTGGATTATTTGCCTGTGATGTTCTTGCAAACAGTGTTGCAAAGAAGCCAATAATAGTATGGTTCTTTCCACTATCTGATTTTTTTTGTATAGTCGTGCACATCTCACTGTAGCATGTAAGTAGTTAAAAACTTGAATCTGATTTGCTAAGCTTAGAAATGATTTTAATAAGAAAGCATGGCAGTTTAAGAAAGATAGGGGTAAAATAATTAAAATAAAGTAAAATGAGATGAGACTATTAATCTGGATTTATAAAAAGTTTTCCTGCATAGCACTGAACATTGTATGAAAGTTTCAACCACGCATCTAAGCATGTGCTTAGCTTTAAACAAATGATCAATTCCAGTGAAATTAATAGGACTATTCATGGGCCCGAAAGTCAAACAGCTGATTAAGGGCTTTCCAGGACCAGTGCCAGAAGACATATCTATGCTGCAGTCCTAAGATGTGAGTGCAGCTGGTATAGACTTTAAATTAGATAGCTGGGTACCAATAACAGTGTATATTGTAAAGCTTACAATAGGAGGAGGCTTACAATATAAGCAACATGGGGTTCAGTACAGGCTGCAAAACCCACCTGGGGACTATAAATATTTGAGTAGCTTTCACTTGAGAAGCAGAGGACATCAGCTTGGGCAAGGCTCTTATGACTAGACTGCTTCCATTACCTGGGATGGCTCACTGCACTGCACTGCTTTCGGCAATGTGACATGCCTATGTCCAGTAGTGTAATGACAGGTGGGTGACCAGGGGTGTCCATTTAGAGCAGACACAAGAACAATAGCCAATGACCTAGCCCCTGCTGCCACCACCACTGCTACCCTGGACACAGACTTTCGTAGTTATGCCTCTGCCTGTATTTCTCAAAATCTGACCCTGGGTGCAAAAAAGTAAATGATGGGTTCAAAAAGACCATGTATAAGGCACAAAAAGAATAATCTAACCAGCTGTCATAGCTATGCGAGTCAAGCAGTTAAATCTACACTGCAGACATGGAGCTTCCTTTGGCAACCACAGCTTGTGTAGTTTTCTTAAGTTTTTCCTTGGAATTTTGAAAACGTCATGACTTTCAGAATGGCATTTTTATAGGTTCTTTAATTATCTCTTAGGTGTGAAATTCTAACATTTCCCCAGAGTCAGGCAATCTAGTACAATGTTGTTAAATGTCATCTCTTGAAAGAGGCCTTTAAAAGCACAGATGTAATTTTCCCTTAGACAGGTGTTAATACTAGCTTTCAGTTTGAAGCTTGAAAAAAAACTGATTAAAAAAAAAAAAAAAGAACATTGTTAAACAGTGACTTTTTCTCAGACATGAGAGGTTTGTGGGAGAGAGGTTTGTGGGAAAATGATTTTGAAATGTTCTGTTGTTTCCTGATGCAAACTGACATCCCCATTTTTTCCAAGTCTTTTTCTGTCCTTCCCCCACCCCTCTGTTTCTCATCTCTACCTGCAGCAAAATGAAAAAAGAGAATAAAGAAGTGGAGGTAAAATATAGGGAAAAGGGAAGGAGAATGAGAGAGGTTGAGAAAGACAACAGAAAGAAATGTGAAGCTGAAACATACCTGGTTAAGTCTGTGGGCATGTGTACACACCCACCCACTCACTAGGGGTGTGTGAAGCAGGCAGTATTCAATTCAGATTCAGCCTGATTTGGGGGACAGTGATTCGGCTGAATCCGAATCTGAAGATTTGATTCTGATTCGGACAATCAGCGATTCGGCTATAGACACAA